AAAGGGAAAATGTCCTCAGGGAAGAATTTTGTTATTCAAAGGGAGACCAAATCATGTAGGAATAAAACGAACTTCTCTCTTAAGGGTGATACAGGAACAGAAAATGCTATAAAAGATTGAAATCTGTTTTTGTGTGTGTGCTTTAGCCCTGGTAGGACATGTTTGCAGGATGCACTGATTCTGTGTGCCCCTTCCATATGAATTCTGAAACACTAGCAATTCCCAGGCACTATTTTCAGAGCTGTGCTAACACTTGTTAATAATGTTGGCGTAGAAAGTCATGCTCATCTTAAACTCATTTAGAAACAAAGAAAATCAGCGAGAGTGTGCCAGAAGAGAAAGGAAGAGATAATCAAGTTACTGCTATCGGAGAAACAGAATGCAAAAATAAATTTTAAAAAAGTAAATAACAAAGAAGGCTGTGTGGTGGCTCACACCTGTAATCCCAGCACTTTGGGAGGCTGAGGCAGAAAAACTGCTTGAGACCAGGGGTTCAAAAGCAGCCTGGGCAACATAGTGAGACCCTCACCCCCATCTCTACCAAAAAAAAAATTTTTAAGTAAAATGAGAGTCCTTTTTCTGTCAACTGCAAGTATTGGAGAAAAAGTGAAAATTTCAGGTGAAAGCAAATCTCTCCTTATTGATGAGTTTACCAGCAGTTTGCTGCTATGCAAGTTCCAACCAGCCCTTATTGGGCCCCAATGCAGCAAAACCTTTCCAGTAAGCTGAACTATTGACATTAATGTGGCCAAGAGTTTGATGCTTTGTTTTGCTTTCAAAACTAATAGCCCCTTAAGTGTGATGTGGGATTTTGGATTGGATTTTCAAAGAGGAAAAGGACACTAGTGAAAAATCAGGTGAAATCTGTATCAAGCCTGCGGTTAGTTAATAGTGTTGTAGTAATGTTAATGTCCTAGTTGTGATAAATGCACCATGACTGTATAAGATGTTAGAGAAAGCTGAGTGAAGGATATATGGGAACGCTCTGTCCTATCTTTTTTTTTTTTTTTTTT